GATCCAATCACTACAGAACACAGTATGAGAGATAAAACATACAATGGAAGGTTTTATATTTATTTTTTATTTTGGTATCATTAATATACAATTATATGAGCAACACTGTGGTTACTAGACTCCCCCCATTATCAAGTCTGCTCACATACCAATGGAAAGTATTAAAAGCAGATTAGATATGGTGCAGGAGATGATTAATGAAATAGAAATTAGAGAAGAGGAATACAAAGAAGCTGCGGCAGAGAGAAGAAAAAGGATCTCTAGGAATGAAAGAATACTGAGAGAACTGTGTGACCAAACGGAACAATATTCATATTAAGAGGGGTAACAGAAGAAGAAGAGAGAGAAAAAAGGATAGAAACTTTGAGGAGTTAACTGCTGAAAACTTCCACAATTTGGGGAAGGACACAGTCTCTCAGCCCATGGAGGTGCACAGATCTTCCAACAACAAGGGACCCAAGGAAGACAACACCAAGACATATAATTAAAATGGCAAAGATCAAATATAAAGACAGACTATTAAAAGCAGCCAGAGAGAGAAATAAGATCACATACAAAGGAAAGCCCATCAGGCTATCACCAGACTTCTCAGCAGAAACCTTACAGGCCAGAAAGGAATGGCATGATATATTTAATGCAAAGAAGCAGAAGGACCTTGAACCACAAATACTTTATCTGCCAAGATTATCATTTAAATTTGATTAAGGGATTAAACAATTCTCAGATAAGCAAAAACTGAGAGAATTTACATCTCACAAACCATCTCTATAGTGTATTTTGGAGGGACTGCTATATATGGAAGTGTTCCTAAGGTTTAATAGCTGTCACCAGAGGTAATAAAACCACAGTAAAGAATGCAGAAGTTGACAACAAAAGCACAATGTCCCAACTTCTGTGGGACACGGCGAAGGCAGTTCTGAGAGGAAAGTATACAGCAATCCAGGCTTATTTAAAGAAGGAAGAACAATCCCAAATGTATAGTCTAAAGTCACAATTATTGAAACTGGAAAAAGAAGAACAAATGAGGCCCAGAGTCAGCAGAAGAAAGGACATAATAAATATCAGACAAGAAATATATAAAATTGAATAGAAACAATAGAAATTAACAATAGAATAAGATAGAAAAAAATCAATGAAACCAAGAGCTTCTTTGAGAAAATAAACAAAATAAACCCCTACAAACTCTTACTAAGAGAAAAAGAGAGTCTATACACATAAACAGAATCAGAAATGAGAAAGGAAAAATCATGATGGACACCACAGAAATACAAGGAATTATTAGAGAATACAATGAAATCCATATGCTAACAAGCTAGATAACCTAGAAGAAATGGACAACTTTCTAGAAAAATCCAACCCTCCAACACTGACCAACGAAGAAACAGAAAATCTAAACAGACCAATTACCAGCAATGAAATTGGATTGATAATCAAAAAACTACCCAAGAACAAAAACCCCAGGCCAGACAGATTCACCGCTGAATCTTATCAGACATATAGAGAAGAAGACATGATACCCATTCTGCTTAAAGTTTTCCAAAAAATAGATGAGGAGGGAATACTTCCAAGCTCATTCTATGAAGCCAGCATCACTCTAATACCAAAATCAGGCAGACACCACAAAAAAAGAAAATTACAGACCAATATCCCTGATGAACATAGATGCAAAAATACTCAACAAAATGAGGAAACCGAATTAAAAAAAATATCTCAAAAAGATCATCCATCATGATCAAGTAGGATTTATTCCAGGGATGCAAGGGTGGTACAACATTTAAAAATCCATCAACATCATCCACCACATCAACAAAAAGTAGGACAAAAACCACATGATCATCTCCATAGATGGTGAAAAAGGATGACAAAATTCAACATCCATTCATGATAAAAACTCTCAACAAAATGGGTATAGAGGGCAAGTACCTCAACATAATAAAGGCTATACATGACAAACCCACAGCCAACATCATTCTTAAAAGTGAGAAGCTGAAAGCTTTTCACCTATGATTGGGAACAAGACAGGGATGCCCACTCTCCCCACCGTTATGAAACACAGTACTGGAGGTCCTAGCCACAGCAAAGAAAGAAAGAAAGAAAGAAAAGGCAACCAGATTGGTAAGGAATAAGTCAAACTGTCACTATTTGCAGATGACATGATATTGTACATAGAAAACCCTAAAGAATCTACTCCAAAACTACTAGAATATTTGAATTTAGAAAGTTGCAGGATACAAAATTAATACACATAAATCTGTTCCTTTCCTATACACTATCGATGAACAAGCAGAAAGAGAAATCAGGAAAACATTTCCATTCACAATTGCATCAAAAAGAATAAAATAGCTTGGAATAAACCTAATCAAGGAAGTGAAAGACCTATACTTTGAAAACTATGAGACATTTATGAGAGAAATCAAAGAAGATACCAATAAATGGAAACACATCCTGTACTTATGGATAGGAAGAATAAATATTGCCAATGGGCCATCATGCCTAAATCAATCTACAGATTCAATGCAATTCCTATCAAGATACCAACAGCATTCTTCAATGACCTAGAAATATCTTTAAAAAAATCATATGGAACCAAAAAAGACCCCCAAGAGCCAAAGCAATCCTGAGAAAGAAGGATTAAACTGGAGGGATTATGCTCCCCAACTTCAAGCTCTACTACAAAGCCACAGTAATCAACACAATTTGGTACTGGCACATAAACAGAACAAGAGACCAATGGAACAGACTAGAGAGCCCAGATAGAAACCCAAGCGTATGGTTAATTAATATACGAGAAAGGAGCTATGGACGTACAATGGGGAAATGACAGCCTCTTCAACAACTGGTGTTGGCAAAACTGGACAGCTACATGCAAGAGAATGAAACTGGATTACTGTTTAACCCCATACACAAAAGTAAACTGGAAATGGATCAAAGACCTGAATGTAAGTCATGAAACCATAAAGTTCTTAGAAGACAACATAGGCAAAACTCTCCTGAATATAAACATGAGCAACTTCTTCCTGAATGCATCTCCTCAAGCAAGGGAAAGAAGGAAAAATGAACAAATGGGACTACATCAAAACAAAAAGCTTCTGTACAGCAAAGGACACCATCAACAGAAAAGGCACCCTACCGTATAGGATAATATATTTGTATATGATATATCCGACAAGGGGTTAACACCCAAAATATATAAAGAACTCACATGCCTCAACACCCAAAAAGCAAATAACCCTATTAAAAAATGGGAAGAGGACATGAAGAGACAATACTCCAAAGAAGAAATTCAGATGGCCAACAGCCACATGAAGATGCTCCACATCACTAATTATCATGGAAATGCAAATTAAAACCACAATGAGGCATCACCTCACAGCAGTTAGGATGGCCAACACTGAAAAGACTAAGAACAACAAATGCTGGCGAGGATGCGGTGAAACAGGAACCCTCCTACACTGCTGGTGGGAATGTATGCTAGTTCAACCATTGTGGAAAGCAATACAGAGGTTCCTCAAAAAATGAAAAATAGAAATATCATTTGACCCAGGAATCCTGCTCATTGGAATTTACCCAAAGAATACAAGTTCTCAGATTCAAAAAGACATATGCACCCCTATGTTTATTGCAGCACTATTTACAATAGCCAAGATATGTAAGCAACCTAAGTGTCCATCAGTAGATGAATGGATAAAGAAGATGTGGTATATATACACGATGGAATATTATTCAGCCATAAGAAAGAAACAAATCCTACCATTTGCAACAACATGGATGGAGCGGGAGGATATTATGCTCAGTGAAATAAGCCAGGCATAGAAAGACAAGTACCAAATGATTTCCCTCATTTGTGGAGTATAACAATGAAGCAAAACTGAAGGAATAAAACTGCAGGAGACTCACAGACTCCAGGAAGGGGGTAGCAGTTACCAAAGGGGAGGGGTGTGGGAGGGTGGCTGGGGAGGGAGGGAGAAGGGATTGAGGGGTATTGTGATTAGTACACATGGTGTGGGGGGTCACGAGGAAGACAGTGTAGCACAGTGAAGGCAAATACTGAGTCTGTGGCATCTTACTATACCTGATGAACAGTGACTGTAATGAGGTATGGGTGGGGACTTGATAATATGGGTATATGTAGTAAGCACATTGTTTTTTCATTTGAAACTTTCTTAAGAGTGTATATCAATAATACCTTAATAATAAAAAAAAGAAAAACAAAAAAAAAATACGTTCCTAGAAAGAAAAAAAAAGAAAACCAGGGAAAATGAGTTTTCCACAAAACTAAATTAAGAGCATTAATTCGGGAATCAACTTCCTAGGTTCAAGACCCAGAATCATCAGTTATTAGCAGACTTTGGATAATATATTTAATATCTCTATTAAAGACAGAGATAAAAATGGGAATGGAAATAGAATCTACTTCAGAGGTACTGTGAGGTCTAAGTTAACATGTGAATAACATTTAGAACAATGGCAAGAACATGTAAAACACTGTATAAATGTTAGGTGCTACTGAACACATAGGCTTGTCTTCCATTCTAGACTCTTTCTGACATTAAAAAGTGTATTATGTGATATGAAATAAAGGTGATATTATATAGTCTTTGTATAATGTCTTAAGCGATCCCTCATGACTACAAGAAAAAATTTATTTAAAAAAGGAAAAGAAATAGAAAAAAGAAGAACTCTTACAAGTCAGTGTCTTCTATTTTTTTAGGGGACATTCAAAAATCATGGCTCTATAATAAAAAGACAAAAAGAGTATCTCATTCCTATCGCTTATTTCCACGATTTGAAGAGTTTAAAAAAAAAAAAACTCTTTATAGACAGGAAGTTACTCCTTTTTAAAATTATATAAAAATCCGAATCAGATACATTCTCTAGTGAACAATCAAAATTGAAGTTATATAAATGCCTTGAAAATATTCACTCAAAACAGATAAAACTAAAAATATTTTTAGTTTCATAAAACTGTATGCCAACTCCAAAGCATTAATAATACTTACCCTATAGTCAAAATCTGCAAACTCTCTGCCCCCACGACCACCTCTGAATCCACCACGAAATCCTCGAGGGGTGGTAAAGGTACCACCTCTGCCACCACCACGCCCTCGGCTACCACGGAAACCAAGACCTCCTCTGCCTCTGTACCCTCCACGGCCACGGTTTGGACGAAGTGGGATTCCAAATGTTTCAGCATTTAATCTTCTTTCTTCAGCCCAGGTTGGTCTCCGTTCTCTATTACAAGAACAAATAATCTTTAGTGTATCAAAATGGCTTTAAAGAACATTTTCTGGCAAAACTATGTAGCACTAATTCATGAATTAAGGCTAAGTAATTCCTAAAAATCAAATAAAAATAAGCATCTCATCTTAAGTCATCACAAGCTGTTCAAGGCAATAGTTCTTATAATATTCTGTTAAATATTTTAACAGAAAATAGAACTCGTTATTAGTTTCTCACAAATACAGTTAATACAACAAACTTGACAGTCCTAATACAATGGGAATTCAGATATAATGGGATTGAAAAATGAGTCCATCTTCTACATAGTCCCAGTGGAAGAGAGGACAAAGCCAGGAATGGAAACCTGTCTCAGGAAGCTAGGAGGATAGGTCCCCAAGTTCTTAGTGCACCCCTGGACCAGATGCCTGAAACACACATTTAAATTGCTTTTACTGCTCTCTACAGCCCAGACAATCACAGGACTCACATCAGAATCACCCCCATCTATGTTTAAACTGAAGCAGACAACTGCCACCAGATGGAACCAAACTGCAGTTAAGAGGAGGACAATTTGGACAGGGCAGCAGAAACTCCGGAACTCTTAGCTTGTTTGGGAATCCTTTAAATTAACCTGACAATTTTCTGGATCCATACTTACTGTAATATGGCCGACATTTACTATATCAACAAACTTCAAAGTAATATTTACCCTTCCGGCCCTGGCTTCATTTCAACTACATTGCAGAGATGTAAACTAAAAGGTCTTACTTAGCTGTTAAATGAATGCTTCTGTTTTAATTACTTATTTTCAAATGTGAATGTATCCCTTAACAAAAGCATACGGTCATTTTTTTTTTTTGCAAGGAGTAATATAATTGAGTTTCAGTAGAGCTTATTTTATTTTAGCGAAATAAAACACTAAAAAATTGCTCATTAAGGCATTTTTAAGTATTCATTAAACTTTGAATTTATAAGAAATTTCAAACTTCAACCTTGTAAGAGCCTAAGAAGAGAAACTTAAAACACTGTATCTGTAGCTGGAGGAGCCAAGATTGTGGTATGAGCAGGGCAGCGGAAATCCCCTCCCAAAACCATACATATTTTTGAAAATACAACAAATACAATTATTCCTAAAAGAGAGACGAGTGGATACAGTACAACACCCAAGCTATATCTACACCAAATACAACTATTCCTAAAAGAGAGACCAGTGGATACAGTACAACACCCAGGCTATATCTACACCTGCGAGAACTCAGCATCTCACAAAGGGGGTAAAATACAAGCTGCGGCCTGGCGGGACCCGAGCGGTCACCCCACCCCAGCTCCCCAGTGGGAGGAAAGGAGTCGGAGCAGGGAGGGAGTGGAAGCCCAGGACTGCTAAACAACCAGCTCTAGTAATCCTCACCAGGAGTGCAGACACACAGTGCACAGTGTGCTGGATATTAGAGAAATGGAAAAGCAAAATCTGCGAGCGGGTCCCTGCAGCCGGGTCCCCTGGGATAAAAGAAATGCCAGTGCTTTTTGAAAGTCTTAAAGGGACAGGGACCTCACAGCTGGACGGAATTGACCCGGCACACTCAGCCCAGCAGCTGAGAAACCCGGGGAACTCCAGAGGCCCTAACCTCCTGGGCGGCAGCAGAGCTCTAAAGCCCCTCATGGCGATACTCAGCCTGTCAGTCGCTTTCACGGCCAGCGCAGCCCCCAACACGGCAGGCCAATAGCAGGTGTGTGAGTGCGAGCTGGTGGCAGCGGCATTCAAGCAGCTGGGAGCAGATACACAAGTCGGCGGCAGTGGTGGCCGAGCAGCCTGGGAGTGGCTGCGGCCTCAGCAGCCGCCCAGAATCTCCTCAGGGCGTTCAGCCATCCAGGCCAGACCCAAAGGCTGCTGCCAGTATGCAGCTGCCCAGCGCAAGCAGAAGAAACTGGGGCAAGATGTGAAAGGGTGCCGTTCTCGCAGGAGAGCTCACCTGGCATGCCTGTCATTCCCAGCAGGGCTTTGGGCTACCCTGACAGTGACCCCACCAACAGCAGCTTAGGGAATTAATCCGGAGGCTGTTCCATGAGTGCGGGTAACAGACACGGTCAGCGTAAAGGGGCAAGGCGACCAGAAAACAGGAAAGGACTCTGTTCTCCCAGCTGACACACGTGCTACTTGCCTACAGCCACTGCTATCACCATGAAAAGGCAGAAGAATTTGGTCCAGTCCAGAATTACCCAGATAACCCCTGAGAGAGGGCCTGGGGAGATAGATTTAACCAAACATCCTGAAAAATAATTCAAAATAAAGGTCATAACCATTCTGATGGACCTGCAGAGAAATACGCAATAGCTAAAGGATCAAGTAGGGAGGGAGAATACAGAAATAAAACAATCTCTGGAAGGACTTAAGAGCAGACTGGATGAGGTGCAAGAGGCCATTAATGGAATAGAAATCAGAGAAAAGGAACACAGGGAAGCTGAGGCAGAGAGAGTTAAAGGATCTCCAGGAATGAAACAATATTAAGAGAATTGTTTGACCAATCCAAACGGAACAATATTCGCATTATAGGAGTGCCAAAAGAAGAAGACAAAGAAAAAGGGATAGAAAGTTTCTTCAAAGAAATAATTGCTGAAAACTTCCCCAAACTGGGGGAGGAAATAGTCTCTCAGGCCATGAAGGCCCACAGAACTCCCAACACAAGGGACCCAAGGAGGACAACACCAAGACACATAATAATTAAAATGGCAAAGATCAAAGACAAGAACAGACTATTAAAGGCAGCCAGAGAGAGAAAAAAGGTCACCTACAAAGGAAAACCCATCAGGCTATCAGATTTCTCAACAGAAACCTTACATGCCAGAAGAGAATGGCATGATATATTTAATGCAATGAAACAGAAGGGCCTTGAACCAAGAATACTGTATCCAGCATGATTATCATTTAAATATGAAAGAGGGATTAAACAATTCCCAGACAAACAAAAGTTGAGGGAATTTGCCTCCCACAAACCACCTCTACAGGATATTTTAAAGGGACTGCTCTAGATGGAAGCACTCCTAAGGCTAAATAGATGTCAACAGAGAAAATAAAATTACAAGAAAGCAGACCAACTAAATACTAACTAAAGCAAAAAATAAAATCAACTACTCACAAAAGCAGTCAAAGGAAACACAACAGTACAGAATAAAACACCTAACATATAAAGAATGGAGGAGGAGGAATAAGAAGGGAGAGAAATGAAGAATCATCAGACTGTGTTTATAATAGCTTAGTAAGAGAGTTAAGTTAGATGGCTAGCTAGTAAAGAAGCTACCCCTGAACCTTTGGTAACCACGAATCTAAAGCATGTAATGGCAATAAGTACATATCTTTCAATAATCACCCTAAATGTAAATGGACTGAATGCAACAATCAAAATACACAGAGTAACAGAATGGATAATAAAGCAAGACCCATCTATATGCTGCTTATAAGAGATTCACCTCAAACCCAAAGACATACACAGACTAAAAGTCAAGGGATGGAAAAAGGTATTTCATGCAAATAATAGGGAGAAAAAAGCAGGTATTGCAGAACTTGTATGAGACAAAATAGACTTCAAAACAAAGAAAGTCACAAGAGATAAAGAAGGACATTACATAATAATAAAGGGGTTAGTTCAACAAGAGGATATAACCATTAAAAATACATATGCACCCAATACAGGAGCACCAACATATGTGAAACAAATACTAACAGAATGAAAGGAGGAAATAGAATGCAATGCATTTGTTCTAGGAGATTTCAACACACCACTCACTCCAAAGGACAGATCCACCAGACAGAAAGTAAGTAAGGACACAGAGGCACTGAACAACACACTAGAACAGATGGACTTAACGGACATCTACAGAACTCTACACCCAAAAGCAGCAGGATATACATTCTTCTCATGGAACATTTTCCAGAATAGACCACACACTATTGACCACACAGAATAGGCCACAAAAAGAGCCTCAGTAAATTCAAAAAGATTGAAATTCTACCAACCAACTTCCCAGACCACAAAGGCATAAAACTAGAAATAAATTAAAGAAGGAAAACAGAAAGGCTCACAAACACATGGAGGCTTAACAACATGCTCCTAAATAATGAATGGATCAATGACCAAATTAAAACAGAGATCAAGCAATATATGGAAACAAATGACAATGACAGCATAAAGCTCCAACTTCTGTGGCATGCAGCGAAGGCAGTTCTAAGAGGAAGGTATACAGCAATCCAGGCCTACTTAAAGAAGGAAGAACAATCCCAAATGAATAGTCTCAAGTCACAATTATTGAAACTGGAAAAAGAATAAATGAGACCAAAAGTCAGCAGAAGGAGGGACATAATAAAGATCAGAGAAGAAATAAATAAAATTGAGAATAAAACAATAGAAAAAAAATCAATGAATCCAAGAGCTGGGTCCTTGAGAAAATAAACAAAATAGATAAGCCTCTAGCCAGACTTATTAAGAGAAAAAGAGAATCTACACACATCAACAGAATCAGAAATGATAAAGGAAAAATCATGACGGACCCCACAGAAATACAAAAAATTATTAGAGACTACTATGAAAATCTATATGCTAACAAGCTGAAAAACCTAGAAGAAATGGACAACTTCCTAGAAAAATACAACCTTCCAAGACTGACCAAGGAAGAAACAAAATCTAAACAGATCAATTGCCAACAAAGAAATTGAACTGGTAATCAAAAAACTACCCAGGAACAAAACCCCTGGGCTAGATGGATTCACCACTGAATTTTATCAGACATATAGAGAAGACATCATACCCATTCTCCTTAAAGTTTTACAAAAAATAGAAGAAGAGGGAATACTTCCAAACTCATTCTATGAAGCCAGTATCACTCTAATACCAAAACCAGGAAAAGACCCCAGACAAAAAGAAAACTACAGACCAATATCCCTGATGAGTATAGATGCAAAAATACTCAACAAAATATTAGCAAACTGAATTAAAAAATACATTAAGAGGATCATACACCATGATCAAGTAGGATTCATCTCAGGGATGCAAGGATGGTACAACACTCGAAAATCTATCAACATCAAAATCCATTGACCACTTCAACAAAAACAAGGACAAAAACCACATGATCATCTCCATAGATGCTGAAAAAGCATTTGACAAAATTCAACATCCATTCATAATAAAAACTCTCAACAAAATGGGTATACAGGACAAGTATCTCAACATAATAAAGACCATATATGACAAATCCATAGCCAACATCATACTTCACAGCAAGAAGCTGTAATCTTTTCCTCTGAGATCGGTAATAAGACAAAGATGCCCACTCTCCCCACTGTTATTCAACATAGTACAGGAGGTCCTAGCCACGGCAATCATGCAAAACAAAGAAATACAAGGCATCCAGATTGGTAAAGAAGAAGTGAAACTGTCACTATTTGCAGATGACATGATATTGTACATAAAAAACCCTGAAGACTCCACTCCAAAACTACTAGAACTAATACCTGAATTCACCAAAGTTGCAGGATACAAAATTAATACACAGAAATCTGTTGCCTTCCTATAAACTAACGATGAACTAACAGAAAGAGAAATCAGGAAAACAATTCCATTCACAATTGCATCAAAAAGAATAAAATACCTAGGAATAAACCTAACCAAGGAAGTGAAAGACCTATACCCTGAACACTACAAAACTCTCTTAAGAGAAATTAAAGAGGACACTAACAAATGGAAACTTATTCCATGCTCTTGGTTAGGAAGAATTAATATTGTCAAAATGGCCATCCTGCCTAAAGCAATCTACAGATTCAATGCAATGCCTATGAAAACACAGATAACATTCTTTAATGAACTGGAACAAATAAGTTTTAAAATTATATGGAACCACCAAAGACCCTGGATAGCAAAGCAATCCTGAGAAGGAAGAATAAAGCATCTCACTTCCCAACTTCACGCTCTACTACAAAGCCACAGTAATCAAGACAATTTGGTACTGGCACAAGAACAGAGCCACAGACCAGTGGAAAAGAATAGAGTCCAGATATTAACCCAAACATATACGGTCAATTAATATATGATAAAGGAGCCATGGACATACAATGGGGAAATGACAGCCTCTTCAAGAGCTGGTGTTGGCAAAACTGGACAGCCACAGGTAAGAGAATGAAAATGGATCGTCTAACCCCATACACAAAAGTGAATTCGAAATGGATCAAAGACCTGAACGTAAGTCATGAAACCATAAAACTCTTAGAAAAAAACATAGGCAAAAATCTCTTGGACATAAACATGAGCGAATTCTTCATGAACGTATCTCCCCGAGCAAGGGAAACAAAAGGAAAAATGAACAAGTGGGACTATATCAAGCTGAAAAGCTTCTGTACAGCAAAGGACACCATCAATAGAACAAAAAGGTATCCTACAGTATGTGAGAATATATTCACAAATGACAGATCTGATAAAGGATTGACATCCAAATTATATAAAGAGCTCACGCACCTCAACAAACAAAAAGCAAATAATCCAATTAAAAAATGGGCAGTGGAACTAAACAGACAGTTCTCCAAAGAAGAATTTCAGATGGCCAACAGACACATGAAAAGATGCTTCACATTGCTAGTCATCAGAGACACGCAAATTAAAACCACAATGAGATATCACCTCACACCAGTAAGGATGGCCAACATCCAAAAGACAAACAACAAATGTTGGTGAGGTTGTGGAGAAAAGGGAACCCTCCTACACTGCTGGTGGGAATGTAAACTAGTTCAACCATTGTGGAAAGCAGTATGGAGGTTCCTCAAAAAGCTCAAAAAGAAATACCATTTGACCCAGGAATTCCACTTCAAAGAATTTACCCTAAGAATGCAGCAGCCCAGTTTGAAAAAGACAGATGCACCCCTATGTTTACTGCAGCACTAGTTACAATAGCCAAGAAATGGAAGCAACCTAAATGTCCATCAGTAGATGAATGGATAAAGAAGATGTGGTACATATACACAATGGAATATTATTCAGCCATAAGAAGAAAACAAATCCTATCATTTGCAACAACATGGATGGAGCTAGAGGGTATTATGCTCAGTGAAATAAGCCAGGCGGAGAAAAATGAGTACCAAATGATTTCACTCATATGTGGAGTATAAGAACAAAGAAAAAACTGAAGGAACAAAACAGCAGCAGAATCACAGAACCCGAGAATGGACTAACAGTTACCAAAGGGAAAGGGACTGGGGAGGGTGGGTTGGAAGGGAGGGATAAGGTGGGGGGAAAAAAGAAAGGGGGCATCATGATTAGCTTGTATAATGTTGAGGGGCAGCACAGGGAGAGCTGTGCAACACAGAGAAGACAAGTAGTGATTCTATAGCATCTTACTACATTGATGGTTAGTGGCCAGTGACTGTAATGGGGTTTGTGCGGGGGACTTGGTGATGGGGGGAGTCTAGTAAACATATTTCTAATGTAACTGTAGATTAGTGATACAAAAAAAAAAAAAGAAAAATAGAAATGCAATATAGAAATGTTGTATAGATTCAAAAGAGGCAAAATTTATTAAACCAACTTAAATGAATTCTCCAAAATAATACTCATAAGTCCTAAATTGGAGGACTTTGTCTCCCAACCTCTAGTGTCTATCCCCTCTGCCTTCTGGTCCAATGTTTTTAAATCATTTCCAGGCTTATTAGAAGAAAAGGGAAATGCACAGAATTTATAAAAGGATAAGTTATTTAACTCATATAAGAGGGAGACTGTTTTTAATGTTCTGTGTTATACTGCTTTTAATCAGGGAGAGAGTAACACACAAGTATGTCTATACTGTTTCATTAGCAATGTTTCAAGAATACATTAAGAAACTTGGCATCTCTGAAATGTTATTTCTTGGATTATACCTATCAAAAACACTTGCTTAGATGGTACTTCTTGGATTATACCTATCGAAACACTTGTTTATCTCCTTGAAAGTTATTTTAATTATTAAATGCAGAAAACCACAGTAGCTTTTTTCCTAACTTAAGACCTTAATACTCATTCATTGTATGGAGGTTATCTAAATGTGTAAGTTCAGTATTTATTAAGCAATGTATTATTTTAATAGCCATTTTCCAATCAGAATTATGTAGTAAAGCATCCAACAATTTCAAAACTTAAACTGTGGAAATAAAAAAATATACTATAAATATATTAAAAAAATACTATACCTGTTATCATCACAAGAAATATTATCAAAGAAGGATTTAGTTTTGTCATAATAGCAATTAGGTCCAAGTGGATCTTCTTCATCTGCATTTCCCTCACTGTTTTGGGTATCAACTCCTGAGTCTCCTTTATCTTCACCATTTACAGGCTTCTCCTGTCTCTCAAGTTTATCTTCTAGTGAAAAACAAGCACATACCATAAAGGTCAAGACTTGTACTAAATATCTGTATTTCACAAGCAAATGAGAATATTTCCTGAGTAGAAAAAGGGAAAACTCACCTTTCAATTTTAGTTTATTATGAAACTCTCTGTCGATTTCCTCCTTGTTAAATTGTGCATTTGCACTTTCAAAGTCAAAGTCTTTCTCAAATTTCATTGGACCATCTCGTCGAATACCAAATCTTCCCCTGCCACCTCGATGACCTCCACGCCCTCTCCTTGGAGCTGAAGGAGCACCTGGAACTATGTCAATAAAGGAAAAAATAAGCTGATTTAGGATAGAAATTATTATTGTCAACAACAGAAATGCTTACAGGTCTCTGTACATGTTACTATAGCTGTATTTTTTTTATGTAAAAAGAAATGAAATTTCATTAACATTTAATATATAAAAGACTGAGAACTGCACATATGAAATTTATAAACATGATTACAAATAGTACACATGAAATTTGTATTTAAGGGGTCCAAAGTCATGTATGTCACTGATAAGAGTACACAACTGAAACGTTTGGGAGACTTCTGTACTAAATTTACTGTATAGCCTTTGAGGGCAGGGTTTGTTCTGTTTGTTCTGTTTGTAACCCTAATAAATACAAAAACAAAGTGCGTTCTCAAAATATAAGAATTCTTTAATGGAAAAGATCACAGGAACCAAGATTTATAGCAAGAAAAATAAACTGACATTAGTTTTCACAAATTGCAAGGTAGGAAGTGTTATTTCCATATCACAGATAACACGAAAAAGACAAGAAGCACTAACTCTCACCAACATCAAGTACTTCCTACTTTATCTAGTCTGCCTCTAAATGGTTTCATACTATTCAAGTCTTACTGTATCTATTCCTTCTCTACAATGTAATATGGTAATAGGATTTATGAGATATGATAAAGCAATACCAAAGCAGCAGAAATTAGAGTGAAAACTTGAGAGCCAAATCTCCAGCACAAGAATAGTTAAGAAAAAAGTAAAAGAGGAACAAGGAATAGTAGTTAACATGAAAGAGTTAACAGAAAAATACAGAGCACAAAGCACTATGAATTCAATGACTATAATTGAATACATTAAATTTCTGGAATAAACTTATTCCAGAATACATTGACAAAGATCAGAGGGGGCCATACAGTATTAGACAGGTTTCTGTTCACTGTTCGCTAAAGTTTGGTAAACTGCCCAAATATGAGAAAACAAAACCATGAAAACCCACACCAGCATTCCAGATACTTAAATCTAGGTAAGCAGGATATTTAAAAATTTAACTATACTTTTAGAGATGCCTTGGCCTAAATCCAGGAAGTACAGCACAATGTTTCTGTCTTAAAAAAAAATGTTTTAAGTATAGTCTTTCTCTGTAAGTAACAAGAACAAAAAAAATCTGAAAGAACATTCACTGTTCTGTTAATGCATCTCTGGGGGATGAATTTTGAAGGGTTGTGACAGATACTTTTATTTATTACTTTATGTGATTTTTAAATAATGGAAGTATGACAATAATTTTATTTTGAGAGAGGGATTTTATTTTTCCAAATTAAAAAAAGTGAAACATGGTAAATCAAACCAAAAACTGTATTCTTTGCCATATAGTACCTACAAAAACACATCATGTACAGGAGAAAAAAATTGCTAAATTTAAGTGAAAGATCCACTTTTCTCCCAATTATTACCTAACTAACGTGATTGCACACTGCCTTTATTTTCTAATTTAGAAGAACTTAAAACTGCAATTTATTCGTTACTATTAAGTTTAAAAATAATAAAATGGATGAATCTGGGGTAAATGTTATAGATTACAAAACAGATAAAGAATATGTAGAATCTTAAGTCAATAGTCATGAAAGAAAAAGTTCTTCAACAATTAGGAAAAAAGCTCAGGGCTTAATTAATTTTAATGAGAAAACTTTTCAAACTTTAAAGGTACAGAGAATTCTAATCTTAAAAGCACCGAAAACCATGAAAACAATTTTATCATGCTAACAGGAAACTGACACAAAAACATAAATAAGAATACAAAAGACAGTAAAAAAATGAACCAATACAACAATGTAAAAATATTAAGTGTACAAATCCTGTTACCAGATAATACTCAAGAATACAGTAAAAGATAACTGTCTACCACAGTTTATTCCAGAAACTTAATGATTTAGGGAAAAAAAAGGCTCTTATTTTAAAACAGACAAAGATATAGACACACACACACACAAATATATATAGAAAAAAACAGTACAGAGTGATCCTATGGCATTACCCAGCTTCCCCTCCAAAAGTAACACCTTATTTAACATTATTAAACATCAAAACCAGGGAAAAAACACTGGTACAATATAATTAACTACACTAAAGATCTCATTCAGATTTCAACAGTTTTTGCATAGTCTTCTTTCGGTATGCCTTTAGGCATAGCTGTATGACATTTGCCACATATACAGATCTATAAAACCACTGTAAGCAAGATAAAGAACTGTTCTGTTATGACAATAAAACTCTCCTGTGCTACTGCATTATAGTCACCAATGCCTGCTGTTTATTCTTCTATATAGTATTTATGCATCATATATTTAAAATGTTCTCAACAGTAGGAAGCATAGGATATAGCTTTCAGATCTAAGTAACTTACCTATTTGTCTCTTGCTATCATTTCTGAGTTGCTCATTTTCTGGTCTTGTAACTTTGTGTACTTCAGCTATAAAAGACATATGAAGTGACAAATTAACTTAGGATACATAAGAAAACTTCTGTAAAGTTATATAAATGGGGAAAAAAAGCCACCCCAAAACAAAACCAAAAAATCTATATCCCCACCATCATCACTACTTTGAGTCATATTTTAAAGACTGAACATTCTATCAAGTTCAGTTTAAACCTTCTAGGATTATTCATATAAAGTATATCTTTTTAATGAAAATTAGGTGGATGGAAAACGTTGATCAGTTAATTAAGGAACAGTAAATAGCTCAAGTTCTACCTCGCCTGTGCTCTTGATTCTCTATTGCTTTTTGGCTGGTAGATGGTAAAGGCCTGGTTGACACTGGGCTCCTTCTCCCAACAGGTGCTGGAGCAGGTAAGTGGGCTGAGGCGGTCTGTACTGCTTGTTCCATGGTGGGGCTTTTTCTCAAAGGGTCTAACTGAGGGCTTGAACGACCTAAAATGTAACCAAAAGATAAGAAACTACTCTATCCTTTGGGAGTTTCAAAATAATCCAGACTCTAAAAAATGGTCTAGTTTTATTTCTACCAAGTCAAACCCTTAGCACAAATGTGAATTTATCTACTTATTAGACCAGAGCTTAAAACTGCTTTGTTGAGCTGGTCACTAGGTTAGTAAAGAAACAAAAACAACCCCCTGCCCAACCATCAAAAACCCCCCAAAGCCTGGGTAACTTTATCTGTATTTCTACCCGGTGTAATAAGGTTTAAGAAAGTTTTTCAAAAATTGCTGCCTGGTACAAGATTCCCCAGGTTTATTACCAAAGATCATGCTGTGGGGAGGTCAGAGGCAGACTTTCCCCAGTACTCACAACCGTAAGATTATACTAACACTTTAGCTATTATTTCCAGAGGGTTCAACTTTTTTTTTTTGGTATTAAGGTATTATTGATATACAATCTTATGCTCGGGTTTCACATGAGCAACACTGTGGTTACTGCATTCACCCCTATCATCAAGTTCTTACCACATACCCCCTTACAGCCACTGTCCATGAGCATAGTAAGATGCTGTAGAGTCACTACTTGTCTTCTCTGTGCTATACTTCCTTCCCTATGCGCCCCCTATATAGTGGCTAATCATAATGCCCCTAATCCCCTTATCCCTCCCTTACCCGTTTCCCTTTGGTAACCGCTAGCTCATTCTTGGGTTCTGTGAGTCTGCTGCTGTTTTGTTCCTTCAGTTTTGCTTTGTTGTTATACTTCATAAATGAGTGAAATCATTTGGTACTTGTCTTTCTCCACCTGGCTTATTTCACTGAGCATAATACCTTCTAGCTCCACCCAGTTGCAGATGGTAGAATTTGTTTTCTTCTCATGGCCGAACAGTATTCCATTGTGTATATGTACCACATCTTCTTTATCCATTCATCTACTGATGGACACTTAGGGTGCTTCCATGTCTTGGCTACTGTAAATAGTGCTGCAATAAACATAGGGGTGCATATGTCTTTTTGAAACTGGGATTTTGCATTCTTCGGGTAATTTCCTAGGAATGGAATTCCTGGGTCAAAGAGTATTTTTATTTTTAGCCTTTTGAGAAACTTCCATACTGCTTCCCACAATGGTTGAACTAATTTACATTCCCACCAACAGTGTAGGATGGTTCCCCTTTCTCCACATCCTTGCCAGCATTTGCTGTTGCTTCTCTTTTGGATGGTGGCCATCCTAACTGATGTGACATGATATCTCATTGTGGTTTTAATTTACATTTCTCTGATGATTAGTGATGTGAAGCATCTTTTCATGTGCCTGTTGACCATCTGAATTTCTTCTTTGGAGAATTGTCTGTTCAGATCCTCTGCCCATTTTATTGGGTCATTTGCATTTTGGGTGTTAAGGCATTCGAGCTCTTTATATATTTTGGATGTTAACCTCTTAACAGATGTCATTTATGAATATACTTTCCCACACTGTAGGATGCCTTTTTGTTTTACTGATGGTGTCCTTTGCCATACAGAAACTTTTTAGTTTGATGTAGTCCCATATGTTCATTTTTGCTTTTGTTTCCCTTGCTCGAGGAGATGCATTCAGGAAGAAGTTGCTTATGTTTGTATTCAATTGCCTGTTTTCTTCCAAGAGTTTTATGGTTTCATGACTTAAATTCAGGTCTTTGATCCATTTCAAGTTTACTTCTGTGTATGGAGTTTGACAGTAATCCAGTTTCATTCTCTTGCATGTAGCTGTCCAGTTTTGCCAACACCAGCTGTTGAAGAGACTGTCCTTTCTCCATTGTATGTTCATGGCTCCTTGATCATAAATTAATTGGCCATATATATGTGGGTTTATATCTGGGCTCTCTATTCTGTTCCATTGAGCTATGGGTCTATTCTTGTGCCAGTACCAAATTGTTTGATTACTGTGACTTTGTAGTAGAGCTTGAAGTTGGGGAGCACAATCCCCCCAGCTTTATTCTTCCTTCTCAGGATTGCTTTGGCTATCCGGGGTCTTTGGTGGTTCCATATGAATTTTAGAACCATTTGTTCTAGTTCATTAAAGAATGCTGTCAGTATTTTGATGGGAATTGCATTGAATCTGTAGATTGCTTTATGCAGGATGGCCATTTTGAGAATATTAATTCTTCCTGCACATGAGCATGGGATGTATTTCCATATTTTGGCGTCTTCTCTGATTTCTCTAGAGTGTCTTGTAGATTTCAGGATATAGGTCTTTCACTTCCTTGGTTAGGTTTATTCCTAGATATTTTATTCTTTTTGATGCAATTGTGAACGGAAGTGTTTTCCTGATTTCTCTTTCTGCTAGCTCATCGTTAGCATATAGGAATGCAACAGAGTTCTGTGTATTAATTTTGTATCCTGCAGCTTTGCTTGAATTTGGGTATTAGTTCTATTAGTTTTGGAGTGGATTCTTTAGGGTTTTTTATGTACAATATCATGTCATCTGCAACAAGTGACAGTTTAAATTGTTCCTTGCCCATATGGATGCCTTTTATTTCTTTGTGTTGTCAGATTGCCATGGTTAGGACTTCCAGTACTATGCTGAATAAAAGTGGGGAAAGTGGGCATCCTTGTCTTGTTTCCAACTTTTTTTTATAATACTTTCTGAAGGTATGTCTAAACTGATACCTTTATACTTTAGGTATTATCTCTGTTAAATTTCTAAAATAAGGGAAGTAAAGAACTAGGAAGTTAGGTAAAATTTTTCAACACCTCAGGGGCTTGGGTAATTAATTAAACATCAATACTGAAAGGCCAGCAACAAGTAAACCCTTCAGATAATTACATAGTACCCATACCCATTTCTTGCCATTTGCAAGATCTCTTGGCAGGTTATTGCTTAATATGGGTTTTGTACTTACAAATTCTATTTTTTGTAATTTTACATAAAAAAAGAAAAAAAAATTCCAAATACACTGTAAATGTTACCACCCACCTGTGTACGTTTTTGCACAGGCTCCAAACAACTGGTGAACCAGTGCATGCTGAGAATGCATTGGCTACTGTACACCAGATGTTTCAGGGACCATTTATTAGTACTATTACGCAAGTTTATGTTTATCTAAAGTATGCAATTACAATTGTGTACCACCCTTTCTAGTCATTAATAACAAAGTTTACTCTGCCATTAACAGAAATAGTGTAATTTTCCCAATGATTATAATGGGAAATCAGGTGGTTTATGTAAGTTTGGTCTATGAGAATACATTTTGTGATCACTTATCCCCTTATAAAGAGACACATAAAAGAAGTACTAAGATTTTGAAAGGCCTATTGTTTAGTGTTACAATAATGTATTAAATGATATTGTAAGTTTCTAAAGCTTACTTTATGAAAGCTTTTCTTTGAGAAAATATCCTGTGACACCAGTATTACAGAACCATAAGTGGTAGGGCAATCATAGCAAGTGAGAACTCATTTGTTGTGTATTTAAAAACCTTGTAATTAAAGTCTACTAGTCATGATAGCAATTTTGTTATAAATAGGGAAATACAGGTGATACTGAACATATTATTAGGAATAAATCCAGAAGTTATTTCAGCATAATAAAAACATACCCTCTTGACCTATCTTCACATTCTTATTAGTTGAAAGAAAATTCTGGGTGTTTTATTAATTTTGTAAAATGTAGATTCACAGGCATTCTCTGCTACTGCTTTATATAAACATACCTCTTTCTTCTAATAAATCTACTTAAAAATTTAAAAAGTATTTTAACTTATTTAAAATAATTTTCATCCTAAGTGTGAGGGAAGGAATCTATTTTTTCCCAAATGATCAGGCTGTTGTCTGTCCTAACATCATTTACTGGATAGCCACCCTTTGTGTATTAGTTTAACAATAGTGTCTTTACCATATATTAATTACATATTTATACTTGGATCTGTTTCTGACTTTTGTTCCATTTATCTCTAAATCTATTCCTTTGCTGCTTTATATATATTTTATTATCAAGTAGGCAAGCCTTATCTCACTATTTTTTAAAACTGTCTAGCTATATTTCCATGTTTACTTTTAAGATAAAATTTTTAGGATAAGATTTTTAAGTCTTATTTTCAAGTCTGTTGTGTTTTATTAAATTCTACTATTGAAAGTACAGCAAATTTAATTAACATGAGAAGTAAAATCTCAATACCAAATTTTTATATCTAAGAAGATCTGTTTCTCTAATTATATTTGACTTCTTTTATGTCCCTCTATTACACTTTGTATCTTTCATCATAGAGGTTGGTCATATTTCTTATTATGTATTTTATATATAATTTCTATTTCTCATTACTGTGAAGTCTTCTATTAACGCCATTCATAAGTGGTAGGTTAGGTTTTAGGACAACTACCTATTTTTTCACATTTGCTTTACACTTAATTCTATCTAATTTAAGTCCCTTGTTAGTTCTAGGTTTTTCAGCAAATTCTCAATTCCAAGCAGAAAGTCAGAGCATTAGCAAATAATGCTAATTTTAATATTTGTATTTTTTATTTCTTTTCAAGTATTTTTGATTTAGCTAAAAATTTCAGAACGATGCTGACCAGCAATGTTAATAGGCATTCTAATTTATGATTTTAATAAGAATTACTAGTGTTTCAATATTAAGGCTAATGTTGCCTATTGGTTAAGGCAGCTATCACTACTGAGCATATTCTACATATCAGGTATTAGGGTAAGGGCACTACATACCTTAAAAAAATTACTCCTCATGGTTAAGTCTGTTAGTTACTAATAAGAATCTCAATTTATAATGGGACTTTATAATTATTTATAAAATAATTCTTAAAAATACTGAATATTTTTCTCTAAAAAAGAATTATTTAAAAAATAACAAACCAATACACATATACACAAATATATGCTTATATTAACCTAGAAAAAAGTCTGGAAGTATATACTACAAAATGTGAATTTATTCTGGGCAGCAAGACTGGGTATTTTTATTTCCTTCCTTATGTTTAGTGTATTTAAAATTCATATACAACCAATCTTTAGAATGTTAAAAAAACTAAAAATTAAGTTACTTAAAATCACTATGAAAACAGTAACTGCAACTATTTCAAAATATCTAAAGTAAATTGCATAGGATTATATTTAGCATTGGCTTTATTTTACCCTCAGTAGCTTTAAATGTATTTTAAAGTCACTAAGAAAATGACTTCACATTGTTTTATTTAAATGTAGACATACATATAAAGCAATAAGCCAATAACATCCATTTTAGCAGCAGATGAAAATGGATTTGGAATCTTAAGACCACTGGAGCTTAGAAGACCGGCTGGTGGAAAAACATAATTAAAAAAAAAAGAAACAGTATCTTTTAAGAAGCTTATTAAAATGCAGATCTCTAAACTCCAGGGGATTCTGATATGGCAGTCCCTCAGGATCTAAATTTTTAAGAAGCACTACAGATGATTTGGTTGTGGGTGGTCCACACTGAGTACCACTGCTCTGGATCCTGTGAGGATGCTACACAATAGCATAGTGAATAATTTGTTTTTTTCAGTCACTATTTCAACTTCATAAAGGATAGTTCACTTTCAGTGATGAGTCTAGGACTGATGTGGTATCTTTAACTATTATATACAAGTTCTATCACTTCTTTGCAAAAAAGGGCAAACTTAAGAGAATGTTTACTGTTTTAGTTTTATGATCTAAGAATTGTGAAAAGCCTAAATAATGGAAGTCACTCAATAATATTAGAAATAATTAGGAGAAAAACTTAAAAAGAACCAAAAATAAATTATACATATGACTTACATACTGCAAAAGCTCTAACATTCAGAGAAGGACAAAAAGTACTTTGGAAGTTTAGAAGGAAAAAACAGCTTACCTTGAGATAACTGTGTTTTTAGAGATCTTGTATCCTGTGTAAAGGCAGAACCAACTGCACTACTTTGAGATAGGGTACCGCTGTTTGATGTGTCTGTTCCAAAGGATGTCAAGGAGCTTCCAGCTTTTTTTTTAATGATAAAAAAAATTTTTAATTTAAACCTTTCAGTTATATAAATATACTGTTTCAATGATAATTGTTGCTGCCCCCCCAAAACACTGTGCAACTTAATAATCCTAGAAATTAATAAAAATGCATCATAAAATAGTTTGAGAAATCATTGACAATACTGGAAAAAAGCGCGCCAATATATACTCTAGAACCCTTGGATCCAAGTAATTTTTGTTACATATGCAATATTATTGTAGGCAGTTTAATCAGAGGGGACAGCAAAGACCAATATCAGATACAGAAGTAGCAGAAATGGTACATTCTACACCAACATTAAGGTTCAATTATGTTAATACCAAGTATCTGCACAAATAGGCAAATCAGCAGACAGGTGTCTAAGAGAGCTTTTTCAGCTTCCACAGCAATAGACAACAGACTCCTGTCCTTTTTACTGCCTCCCCTCAGGATGGTACTGTGGGCTACATTCTGCCCCAAAAAGTTCTGGTAGTAGGAGTAAGTCCCTAGAAGTTCTCAATTCTTTGATATACTAGATTATGTCAATCTTCTCAAAGTTTCTACAGTACTTATGGATTCACTTTTCATAAGCTGTGCTCTCTTATTTAATATTTAATCTAGGCAGGTTTTCTCTAGCAGGAACTATTTCCCTTCTTCCCCCAACCTCCAAATCCAGTCTATAGGTGGTAGTCAGAATAATCTTTTATCAAATACAGATATAATCACTTTACTACAGTGCTTAGGACCCTCTGATGGCTTTTCACTGCCCTCAAGATTAAGAGTTCCAAAGACTTATTTCAGTTTATAAGGACCTCTCCTTATCTGCCTACCTTTTCTCATCACTTTCCTTATTTTCATTAGTCTACTCCACAGCAGTTTACCTGTCTACTTTTTAAATAATTGAAGATTATGATCATGTCCCTCACCATCTTCTCATTTCCAAACTAAGCAACTCCAGTTCCTTCAACCACTACTTACCTTCATGTGGTCTTTACTATGTGCTCCCCTCCCTGGATTTTCCTAATTTAATGAGTTCTTGTTCACACTTTCTTAAAATGGGGCATCAGAACCTAGCACAGTATCTTAGATAATAAGAACCAATGGGACAGAGGTGTGTGTGATCCAGTCAGGCTACTGCCCCAGCCATCTCAGGAAAGGCCTAATATAACCTCCCACATCCCTGGAAATGTGGGGATCAGTGCTCTCAGAATTTCTGGGGGAAGCTGACTCCATATCTTTATCTCTATTATTTCTGGGCAATGACCATGACATAAAACACTCCGATGATATATATGTATTTTAATTTTCTTATTAAAGTATCATTGATACACATTCTTATGAAGGTTTCACATGAGCAACATTGTGATTACTACATTCACCCACATTATCAAGTCCCTCCCACATAACCCACTGCAGTCAACTGTCCATCAGCATAGTAACATGCTATAGTCCCTGCTTGTGATGACACATTTTATCTCCATGCTACTCTGTTTCCTCACTGACTCAACTTCTCACTGCATGTCCCCTAGTTAGCAAACTCTTCTATATCCTCCATCTTTTCTCTGAGCTCCTGGTCATACCTCACACCCCCTTTAACCCAATTCAGCTACTGATTAAACCTCAAACTATTCTTTGTATATGGTATGAGGCAGGGGTCAAAGTTAATTTTTTCCAAATATATCCAGCTACTGGGATATCACGTTAAGATACCCCCTTTTGACTGAACTGTGCTGGTACCTTTGTTTTAAATCAGTATTTAAGTGTGTCTATTTTTGTGCTCTCTATTCCTTGCTCCTGGTGTCGTATATATTTGTATCAATAATTCACTGCTCCAATTTCTGTAACTTTATAGTACATCTTGAAACCGGGTGCAAGCCTCAAACTTTCTTCTTCAAGATCATTTTGGCTATTCTAGGTTTTGTATTTCCATATAAATATCATAATCAGCATATCAATTTCTATTTCAAAATGTCTGATGGGATTTTAATTGGGATTATTTTCAACCTGCAAATCAATTTTGGGGAAAGTGTCACTTTAAAAATGATACTGAGTCTTCTGACTGACAAGCATGGATTAACTCCTCACTTACAATCTTGAATTTCTCTCAGCAATGTTTTATGGTTTTCACTGTACATCAGGGTTTTCTCCACTTCTGCATGACAAATTCGGTCAGACAATTCTGTGCTGTAAGGGTTGGTAGGGTGGTAAGTAGCATCCCTGGCTTCTACCCAGGAGATACTAGTATCCCCCAGTTGTGACAACCAAAAATGTCTCCATGTATTACTAAATGTTCCCTGGGGAAGAGGGGTAAAATTAGCCCCCTCTATTGAGAACCACTGTTACAGAGGTTTTTAAATATATTTTGCTATATTAATTCCTGGATATCTGATATTACTGATGCTACTGTAAGCTGTGTTGCATTTTACATTTCCCAGTAATCTGTTCAGGTGTTAGCGAGCCTTTTAATGGCTAGATAGTAAATAATTTAGGCTTCTCAGGCCATATGATCTCTGTTTTAACTATTCACCTCTGCCCCTGAAGTATAAAGGCAGCCATAGACAACACTTAAATAAATGGGTGTGGCTGTATTTCAACAAAACTTTATTTACAAAAACAGGAAGTTGGCTGGATTTGGTCCAGAGGCTATATCCGTCTGCCAACCCATCTGTTCTAGAATACAAAAACACAGTTGATTTTTTGTATCTTTATTATGTATCCTTTTACAATGTTAAGTTTACTTACTCATTCTAGTGGTTTGGATATTCCTTTGCATTTTCTACACCCAACATGCCACCTTCAAATGAAGACATTTTTAGCTTTTCTTTTGCAATCTTTTAAATCTCTAAATGAGTGTTGAATTTTATCAAATTTCTGCTGTATACTTTGGGACTGCAGTTTTTCTCCTTTACTTTGTTAATGTGACAAATCACTACTGATTTTCAAATGTTAAAAGATCCCTGCAGTCCTGAGATAAATTCACTTTTGTCATTATGTATTATTGTTTGTATGAATTGCTGGCTTCTAGTGCTAATACTGTGTTAAGGATTTTTCCATATGTTTATGGAAGATAGTGAACTGTAATTTTCTTTTCTTGTAATGACCTCATTAGATTTTGATTCCGCTTGCCTCAGTTATGGTTAGGAAGACCTCTTCCTCTATTCTCTCAGAGTTTGTGCAAGATTGGTAAAATTCTTTCTTCCCTAAATGGTAAAATCTGTCAGTAAAGCAGATTTTCTTTGTGGGAGATTTTAAATAACAGTTTCAATTTCTTAAATAGATACAGGGATATTGTGATTTTTATTTCCTCTTGTGTTGGTTTATTAAAGTTGCATTTTCCAAGAAATTTGTGTATTTTACTTAAGATGTCAAAATTTCTTGATTCTTTTAAGAAGCTTATTAAAATGCAGATCTCTAAACTCCAGGGGATTCTGATATGGCAGTCCCTCAGGATCTAAATTTTTAAGAAGCACTACAGATGATTTGGTTGTGGGTGGTCCACACTGAGTACCACTGCTCTGGATCCTGTGAGGATGCTACACAATAGCATAGTGAATAATTTGTTTTTTTCAGTCACTATTTCAACTTCATAAAGGATAGTTCACTTTCAGTGATGAGTCTAGGACTGATGTGGTATCTTTAACTATTATATACAAGTTCTATCACTTCTTTGCAAAAAAGGGCAAACTTAAGAGAATGTTTACTGTTTTAGTTTTATGATCTAAGAATTGTGAAAAGCCTAAATAATGGAAGTCACTCAATAATATTAGAAATAATTAGGAGAAAAACTTAAAAAGAACCAAAAATAAATTATACATATGACTTACATACTGCAAAAGCTCTAACATTCAGAGAAGGACAAAAAGTACTTTGGAAGTTTAGAAGGAAAAAACAGCTTACCTTGAGATAACTGTGTTTTTAGAGATCTTGTATCCTGTGTAAAGGCAGAACCAACTGCACTACTTTGAGATAGGGTACCGCTGTTTGATGTGTCTGTTCCAAAGGATGTCAAGGAGCTTCCAGCTTTTTTTTTAATGATAAAAAAAATTTTTAATTTAAACCTTTCAGTTATATAAATATACTGTTTCAATGATAATTGTTGCTGCCCCCCCAAAACACTGTGCAACTTAATAATCCTAGAAATTAATAAAAATGCATCATAAAATAGTTTGAGAAATCATTGACAATACTGGAAAAAAGCGCGCCAATATATACTCTAGAACCCTTGGATCCAAGTAATTTTTGTTACATATGCAATATTATTGTAGGCAGTTTAATCAGAGGGGACAGCAAAGACCAATATCAGATACAGAAGTAGCAGAAATGGTACATTCTACACCAACATTAAGGTTCAATTATGTTAATACCAAGTATCTGCACAAATAGGCAAATCAGCAGACAGGTGTCTAAGAGAGCTTTTTCAGCTTCCACAGCAATAGACAACAGACTCCTGTCCTTTTTACTGCCTCCCCTCAGGATGGTACTGTGGGCTACATTCTGCCCCAAAAAGTTCTGGTAGTAGGAGTAAGTCCCTAGAAGTTCTCAATTCTTTGATATACTAGATTATGTCAATCTTCTCAAAGTTTCTACAGTACTTATGGATTCACTTTTCATAAGCTGTGCTCTCTTATTTAATATTTAATCTAGGCAGGTTTTCTCTAGCAGGAACTATTTCCCTTCTTCCCCCAACCTCCAAATCCAGTCTATAGGTGGTAGTCAGAATAATCTTTTATCAAATACAGATATAATCACTTTACTACAGTGCTTAGGACCCTCTGATGGCTTTTCACTGCCCTCAAGATTAAGAGTTCCAAAGACTTATTTCAGTTTATAAGGACCTCTCCTTATCTGCCTACCTTTTCTCATCACTTTCCTTATTTTCATTAGTCTACTCCACAGCAGTTTACCTGTCTACTTTTTAAATAATTGAAGATTATGATCATGTCCCTCACCATCTTCTCATTTCCAAACTAAGCAACTCCAGTTCCTTCAACCACTACTTACCTTCATGTGGTCTTTACTATGTGCTCCCCTCCCTGGATTTTCCTAATTTAATGAGTTCTTGTTCACACTTTCTTAAAATGGGGCATCAGAACCTAGCACAGTATCTTAGATAATAAGAACCAATGGGACAGAGGTGTGTGTGATCCAGTCAGGCTACTGCCCCAGCCATCTCAGGAAAGGCCTAATATAACCTCCCACATCCCTGGAAATGTGGGGATCAGTGCTCTCAGAATTTCTGGGGGAAGCTGACTCCATATCTTTATCTCTATTATTTCTGGGCAATGACCATGACATAAAACACTCCGATGATATATATGTATTTTAATTTTCTTATTAAAGTATCATTGATACACATTCTTATGAAGGTTTCACATGAGCAACATTGTGATTACTACATTCACCCACATTATCAAGTCCCTCCCACATAACCCACTGCAGTCAACTGTCCATCAGCATAGTAACATGCTATAGTCCCTGCTTGTGATGACACATTTTATCTCCATGCTACTCTGTTTCCTCACTGACTCAACTTCTCACTGCATGTCCCCTAGTTAGCAAACTCTTCTATATCCTCCATCTTTTCTCTGAGCTCCTGGTCATACCTCACACCCCCTTTAACCCAATTCAGCTACTGATTAAACCTCAAACTATTCTTTGTATATGGTATGAGGCAGGGGTCAAAGTTAATTTTTTCCAAATATATCCAGCTACTGGGATATCACGTTAAGATACCCCCTTTTGACTGAACTGTGCTGGTACCTTTGTTTTAAATCAGTATTTAAGTGTGTCTATTTTTGTGCTCTCTATTCCTTGCTCCTGGTGTCGTATATATTTGTATCAATAATTCACTGCTCCAATTTCTGTAACTTTATAGTACATCTTGAAACCGGGTGCAAGCCTCAAACTTTCTTCTTCAAGATCATTTTGGCTATTCTAGGTTTTGTATTTCCATATAAATATCATAATCAGCATATCAATTTCTATTTCAAAATGTCTGATGGGATTTTAATTGGGATTATTTTCAACCTGCAAATCAATTTTGGGGAAAGTGTCACTTTAAAAATGATACTGAGTCTTCTGACTGACAAGCATGGATTAACTCCTCACTTACAATCTTGAATTTCTCTCAGCAATGTTTTATGGTTTTCACTGTACATCAGGGTTTTCTCCACTTCTGCATGACAAATTCGGTCAGACAATTCTGTGCTGTAAGGGTTGGTAGGGTGGTAAGTAGCATCCCTGGCTTCTACCCAGGAGATACTAGTATCCCCCAGTTGTGACAACCAAAAATGTCTCCATGTATTACTAAATGTTCCCTGGGGAAGAGGGGTAAAATTAGCCCCCTCTATTGAGAACCACTGTTACAGAGGTTTTTAAATATATTTTGCTATATTAATTCCTGGATATCTGATATTACTGATGCTACTGTAAGCTGTGTTGCATTTTACATTTCCCAGTAATCTGTTCAGGTGTTAGCGAGCCTTTTAATGGCTAGATAGTAAATAATTTAGGCTTCTCAGGCCATATGATCTCTGTTTTAACTATTCACCTCTGCCCCTGAAGTATAAAGGCAGCCATAGACAACACTTAAATAAATGGGTGTGGCTGTATTTCAACAAAACTTTATTTACAAAAACAGGAAGTTGGCTGGATTTGGTCCAGAGGCTATATCCGTCTGCCAACCCATCTGTTCTAGAATACAAAAACACAGTTGATTTTTTGTATCTTTATTATGTATCCTTTTACAATGTTAAGTTTACTTACTCATTCTAGTGGTTTGGATATTCCTTTGCATTTTCTACACCCAACATGCCACCTTCAAATGAAGACATTTTTAGCTTTTCTTTTGCAATCTTTTAAATCTCTAAATGAGTGTTGAATTTTATCAAATTTCTGCTGTATACTTTGGGACTGCAGTTTTTCTCCTTTACTTTGTTAATGTGACAAATCACTACTGATTTTCAAATGTTAAAAGATCCCTGCAGTCCTGAGATAAATTCACTTTTGTCATTATGTATTATTGTTTGTATGAATTGCTGGCTTCTAGTGCTAATACTGTGTTAAGGATTTTTCCATATGTTTATGGAAGATAGTGAACTGTAATTTTCTTTTCTTGTAATGACCTCATTAGATTTTGATTCCGCTTGCCTCAGTTATGGTTAGGAAGACCTCTTCCTCTATTCTCTCAGAGTTTGTGCAAGATTGGTAAAATTCTTTCTTCCCTAAATGGTAAAATCTGTCAGTAAAGCAGATTTTCTTTGTGGGAGATTTTAAATAACAGTTTCAATTTCTTAAATAGATACAGGGATATTGTGATTTTTATTTCCTCTTGTGTTGGTTTATTAAAGTTGCATTTTCCAAGAAATTTGTGTATTTTACTTAAGATGTCAAAATTTCTTGATCTGAAGTTGTTCACACTATTTTCACGTTATTCTCTTAGGATCTAAAGTGTATTCTTTTATTCCTGACATGATGATTTGGATCTTCTTTTTTTTCCTTAATCAGTCTTGTTAGGGGGTTATTAATTTTATGAAAAGTTTCAGAGCCAACTCCTGACTTGGTTGATGTTATATATATTTTGGCTGGTTTCTATTTCATAGATTTCTGCTTCTTAAATTTTGTTCCTTCTACTACTTTTGAGGTAATTTTCTTTCCTTTTTTCCTAGCTTATGAGCACTGACTTTAGAACATTCTAGTTTTCTAATATATGCAATTTAGAGGTATGAAATCTCACCCAAGCATTGGTTAAGCTCTACTCAAATTTTGTATGTTGTATTTTGTGATGATTAAAAGATATTTTCTCATTTCCCTTATGATTTATTACTGATTTATAAGTCTGTTAATTTCCAACTTTTGGTATTTTAAAGTTATTTTTACTATTAATCCCAAATTTAATTTCTTTGTGGCTTGAGAAGATGCCATATATAATTTCAATCCTTCTGAATTTAATGTAACTTCTTTTGGGCCCAGGATTTGATTTATCTCATTGAGTAGATCGTGTTTACTTAAAAGAAATCTATACTCTACCCTCTTGGGTGTTACTACTTTATAAAAGTTGCATACACATCTAGGATTGGTTTAGCTTCCTGATGAACCACCCTCTATGCCATTAAGAATTCCTCTTTACCTCTAGTACTACTCCTAGTACTCCAAATCTTTAAGTTGCTTTGTCTGATGTTGATTTATCAAACATAGTTTCTGTATTAGTGTTCGTATGGTATGTCATGCCTTCTACTATTTTCTCACTTTCTGTCTTTTAGTGCATCTCTTACAAACATCATATAGCTGGGCCTTGATTTCTTTGAAGTTCAGTTTGATTATCTTTGCCTTTTAACTGGAATGTTTAATTCCTTTACACTTTATCAGAGCAGATCTTAAACTATCCTTTGTCATCCCTAATTCATGGGAATACCTTTGTGACTCTGGGCTAACTGTAAAGTTCATAAGCATGACTTTTAACAGTTAAGAAGCATTCCAGATGATTCGGTTGTGGGTGGTCCTGATGAATTAGATAGAGGTAATCTTCATCAAACTCAGTGATTAAAAATTAATCTGTGTAAAACACTGGGGACCTAAGATGATCACTGTATAATATGATTTGATGACTTCCATCAGCTAAATTGTATACATTTGTCTGTTCAGCCGCTATTCCTCCATCTTGCCCATAGGAGTATTATAAGACTTAGCATGCCATGGCTGTTTTGCTGCTTCATTTATTGTGGGATAATTAATTTTTCCTAAGGGCCTATATATTAAAGTCAATGATGACCTGATCTTTGCACGTAAGAATTATTTTAGTAAGAGCTAAAAAAATAGTGCTTGAATTTTCTCTGGTACATCATTTATTTCAATGTATGAGTGTGTCTGTTTCCCCACTATTTTGCCAAAAGAGATTATACTCAAACTTTTGGGTTTATGTAAATTGATAGTGGAAAAAAAAAAAGTGTTTTGGAACAGATTTAATCAGTCTCTTATTGTAAGCAAGATTTAAGCATCTTTCCACATTTAAAGGCCATATT